TTCAGGTGCTCCAGTAAAAGATCCTACCAAAAAACCCTAAACAAAAAACCCCAGAAAAAACCCTCTCTTCTTGCCTATTTCCTGGACCATGATGACTACAACTTGTGTCACCAGCACATTTCATTAGCACACTCTTTTTTGTACCAACGTCATTCATTAAATAAAATTGGTCCCAAGAGCAATCCCTGAGAAATGCCATTAGTAACCTCCCTCCAGACTGATACTTTTCCTTGCAATTCAGCCAAGTCCTTGCTCAAGTTATGACTTCTATCGGCCCCTATTGTCTCATTTTTTAGTAAAGATTTCCCACATGGCACAAAATCAAATGCTTTGCTGTAGTGCAGATATATTGCATTTATTGTACTTTGTTTGGAAAGTCAGCTGTCCTCCCAGAGAAAGTTCAGGTGAAAAATGTGTGTCCCACATTCACTCTTATGGTACCACCTCAAACTTGGTAGGGACCAGATGTGTACTTTCATGTGCCAGCTCTGGGATGGAAATGATCCAGCCCTTCTGATGTTAGTACACTGAGCCCTTTGTGCTTTCTTTCCACCTCCATGGTACCCTCCAGTTCAACACTCTCCTTTGCACTAGCAATCCTGTCTGTCCTAGTGTATAAAAACAGAGGCAAAGTATTCACTTGGGTGGGGGGAGCATACATAATTTTCATGTTGACCAGATCTTTACCATGCAGTGACCCCGCTTCTCCTTTCTGTGTTCTCTTTTTATCTATATAGCTGAGGAACCTTGGACTATTTGTTTTCATTTCCTTTGCAAGGTCTAACTTTCAGCAAGTCTCATTTTATCTTTGCACTTCCTGCCCTCCACAGCACACCTTTCTTTGCTGATCAATCCTTTTTTTAATTCCTTATAGTTTCTTTGCTTACTCCTAAGACCTTTGTTGAAGTGGTTATTTATCCAGTTAGCTATGAACTCCCTTTCCCTTCCCACACAACTTTTTAACCCTTGCTTGGGATACAGTTTCCAGATGGGAACTTGCACCTTTCAATGTGGAGGAAGCTTGGGAACGAAGTCCTCAAGCCTCTCAGTGCAGTTGTTTTTAATAGCTGGCTCCTTTACCTTCCCAAGTTTGCCCAAAGTTTGTAGTTATAGACCCACTTTCAGTTATCCTCCCATTTCATTTGAACTAAATACACAGGATCACTCCGTCCAACTGAGTGACTGTGACTGGCTCTTCTATAATCCTCCCTCTACTTAGCAACACCAAGATTAGCCCTTGCTTGTTTAATGACTATTTGGTGAAGAAATAACTGCAATTAATAGCAGCATTTGTCCTCTAACGGATAACTGGAAAGTTAAAGTTTCCATTAACGATAAAAGTCCCGGTGGTATTTGTAGCCCTCAAGACATTACTGAGATCTCTTTCCATATCCACACCTGACTTTTAGGTTCTCAGGCAAAATCCCCTCTTCCTTATGCCACCAAGGTGCCTGGAAGGTCATGCCATTGCTCTGAGATCTTGTGTGGACGAGATATAGGAATGCTGAGCTCCATTATCCCACGTACATATGCCTGTACACACATGCAGGGGTTTGTAATTTGAAACCATCTTAATTTCTGGACAGGCTTTGCAAACTGCTTGGACCACATTCTCTCAGGTGTTTAAAGAAGGTGGAGTGTGGAGTATTTATTAGGTGCTCTGTAAACCCTAATAAGAATAGAGCGCTTGTAGCAATCTCGAAGAGCAAACACGAAGCCAGCTGCTCGCAACTGAACTGTGCCACCACGTTTTGATTGCTTCTGGTCCCAGAAGCCAGATTACAACTAGACCAAAAATGGCTTTTTTAACATCATTCATTTGTGATCCTGCACTAATTTGTCTGCTGTGTGCGCTTGTATTATTAGGGGCTCTCTATTTTTCAACTGGCTCTAACAATTCAGCGTATAAACTGCCGCCTGGTCCATCTCCTCTTCCGATCATTGGCAACCTGCATTTGCTGGATATTAGAAGGCAAGATAAGTCGCTAATGAAGGTAGGATCAAAACAAAACCAATACCCTTGTGAATTTTGAGACGGTGTCAGCTGTATCAGTGCGAACATTTGTTTTAATTTGAATTACATTTCAGGGGTGTACAACTTGCATTGTAACATTTTTTCTTGACGTTTTCTAGCAACTGCCCGAGTTGATGCAGTGTCATATATGAGTGATTAAACACTGAAAAAAGGCCTTGGGTAATGTGGGAGTTTTTCATGTAAGCTTCATCGGATACATGAAGTATAGAGCACTTACAGAAATTTAAATACTAATTTGACAGCTCCCGTACCCAGGAGGCTTTTAAGGTGCTGGCAAACAGCTAGCATGAAAAGAAAAATTACTAGGGAGAAATAAGAGGAAATAATTACAGACTTCCAAAAACACAAAAGAAAGGGCAAAAGCCCCATGTCCTTGGGCAGCATTTTGCCCCATTCTTAACCAGGCAAATGCTGGTGGAAAGCAATGGGTCAAAATTAAAAATGGGCGGAACATTTTTGTCAAGGAACTGGAATACATACCTAAGTAAGCCTTTCTGCTAGCTTGTCCTTAAATACCATTTATCCTTCTTTACCAAGAGCAACAGCTCTGGCATGTAAGATGATGCTGATAAAGGGGTTGTCAGGTTAATGTCATTCCAAGACCTTCATGCTTCTTCAGGTGCGGGGGAAAGTTTGGGTAAAACTTCCTCTCCTTGCTCTGGAAACATCTGTTCTGCTCAGGCAGTTGTGCCAGGGAGCGGGGAAAAAGCATGCCCGATACGTAAAGTCCTGGTCCCGGGCTGGGTGTCCCAGGGCCTGCAATATTTCACAGGATAAATGCATAAGCGACAGCAATAGGAGAGCTGCATGGTGCGTACTGGTCACTACCATGAGCCATGTCTGAGCACATGGACTAGAGAGATTGCAGGGTCTGGTGGGGGCTGGGCCCCTCACTTTCCCTTACCGCTACATGGCTGCCGTGTTAATTAATAGGCTGTGGAGAAGGCTGCACCCTACGTCTGAAGCTGAGTTATTGGCAGTGAATTATGTAACGGCCACACACAGGGCTGTAGCAACAAAGTTTGGCACCTGGGGCAAAGCCCACAGTGGCAGCCCGCCCTCGCCCTGCGCACAGATCCAGGCGGTACATGCCCCCCCGCAATGCTTGTCTGGGAGTGCACACAGCGGTGGGAGCCACCCTTTCCCATGCCCCCCCAAATGAGCCATTTGTGGCTCCATCCTGTGCCCCACCCTGGCTGGGCAGTGCCAGTTGGCACCCTTTTGCTTCAGTGCTCTGGAAGTTGCCCTACTTGCACCCCCCTTGCTACAAAACTGGCCACATATCTGCCTTGGACCTCCCCTCCTCTGCCCTGGACCACCCCCAGCCTTTTCTGTGCAGCTCTGGAGCACTAGTTCACAGCATGCAGGCAGCACGTAATGGCTTCCTTCGCAAACCAGAGTATGTTAAAAGCCAGTGCAACCACAGCAGAAGCAGGTAGGAGCCAAAATTTCAGCCCTCTATGCTAATAGCTTGGGTTATTCCATAATCTAGTATGAAATGGCTTGTAAATTCTCACTGTGTGGAACATGAAGGTTAGCTAGAGGGGTCACATTCTCATCCTCTAAAAATGCAAGACATGTAGCAGCAGATGCACACACCCTGCAATGCTGGGATTCTTCCTCCAGGGAATTACACAGAATGCCTTAGCAAGCATGTTTCTTCACCAAATAGGAGCAGCTGTCTGGAAGTACTTGGAAGAAGCCAGTTTTCATCCCCTAAAGCAGATCTTGCAGGCAGTACTAGCTGCCACTGTGTCCTTGGGTGGGAATTTGGCATTGGAGCTTTCAAAGTACTTTATTTGCTTTTCACAGTGTTTAATACCTAGCTCTTCCTGAAGGAAAATCATGGCTTGATTTAGCTGCATAGAGCTTGCCTTGGCTGTGAAGCAGTGAACGAAATGCCCTTCCTTTTTCTTAAAAATAAGACAGAAAAACCTGAAGCATCTTCTCTGGTGCAAGATGGATTTCACAGGGCATGTCTACATGTGAATTAATGCACTGTAATTAGGGCTCATTAAGTTTAGTACTGTACCTATAATAACAGGTACTAACTTAATGTGCTGTAATTGGCTCTACTGAGCAGTAGCTCCGGTGCACGACTTTTAGGTGACACTAATGCACAGTAGACTAGACTAATTAGCCCATTAGCATGGCTTTTGCTGTGACATGCTAATGTGCAGTAGAGTTAGTCACTGCGCTTTCAGCATTTCGTGTAGATGCTCCCACTATATTCATAAGGCCCACATGCCAAAGTCTCCAGTTTGACTTCTGTACAGAGGCTTGATTCTCTGCTGTCCGGCATCAGGGTCAGTTGTTCACATCACTGCAACCCAGTTCAAGGCCTGTGTCAAGTATTACTATTCAGACACTTCAGCACAAGGCAACTGAGATCCAGAGGGCTTTTGTAGAAGAATGAGACGTGTGTGGTTTATCTTGAAATGAGTCATGGTTGCTTTAAGACTTGCTTTCCACTTTGCACGGCAATGTCTATCTCACCTCTGTCTTCCTTCTGTTCCTCTACTTGCTTTGCTAACCAATCCTCATCCTTTAACTCTGGGTGCATTTGTTTTTCATTAACCTTCTTCCCAACACAGAAACCAAGCTATTAACCTGCAGACCTCACCGCCTAGGAGAACCCATCCAAGAGTCTCTGCTGACTTGCCATTTTAACAGCTGCTCTTCAGCTACCCATCGTGGCACTTTTTTCAAGTGTAATGCCTTTGCAGTCATATCTCATGGCCTAGCATTGGTCCTGAATCAAGAATGGGCATCAGCCATGTTCTGGATTGTATTTCAAATGCACTGGCATGGTCTAGAGCTATTAAGAGAAAATCAGTGCTTTCTTGATGTGCTCTCTCCTGCTCTGACCATAAACCCTGGCCTCTGTTCTAGCTTGGAGAAGAATATGGGCCGGTGTTCACCCTCCACTTTGGGTTCCAGAAAGTCGTGGTCCTGACTGGGTATGAAGCTGTAAAGGAGGCGCTGGTGAACTTCCCAGAGGAATTTGTAGACAGACCTGCTATCCCAATATTTGAAGAAATTCAGCACGGAAATGGTACTGGTCCTTGGAGAAATAATGGTGGGAGTTTCAAAAATGCTCAGCATCGGCATAATTTCTGCTCTCATTGACTCCTCTACAGAACACGTATGGAAATCCCACCCTAAGGCTCTATATAAGCTAAATTGACATTGAAAATCTGTCTTTCCAGTGGCTCACCAGGGTTTTCTCTGTGCTAATTATGCTGCAAGCAAGTTTGGGTCCAAATAACATCCTAGCTGTTAGAAGGGGAAGAGGAAGAATTTGTAAAGGCCGGGTGGCAGTAATACGCTTGGAAGTAGGAAGTCAATGAAAGTAGGTGCCTACCTGCCCCGGGTTTGTTTTAAAACCTTCCCTGAACTATCAGAAGAGCTACGCAAACCAACCCTTCCTAGCAACCCAGGTCTCAATGAACTGGCACTTTCTGCAGGGGAAAAAATGCTGTGTTAGAAAATTCCCAGCTAGAGCAAGCTTCTATGCACCAGTAGCTCCTCACTATATCTTTTTTACAGATATCCTGCCTCTAAGTAATATTTTTCTTCCCTTCCCCTTGATTTGTTTTTTCATTGGGTAACAGTGAGTTCAGCTTCCAGAGCCATGATGCAGGGGGCTCTGCCCATCATGAACTGAAAGCACAGCTATCTATAGCCACGTTCAGAGTCAGCATACAGATGGGAGAGATATCAAACATGACCACATAACTATCCTTCACTGGAATCAAGGAGTATTCTGAGAGAATTGAGGTGGAAAGTTTCCATTCAAATTTGAACTCAAGTGTGGGGAAAAAACAAGAGGAGATAAAATGTTTTCTAAGACATTTAGAGAATGGGGAAAGAGGAAAAAGATGGTGTGAGGAAGTCACAGATTCAGCTGTCCCCTGTTAGACCCTATTCCACCAAATAGCACTCCATCAAGTCCAAAATGGTGGCACCTACTGGTGAGAGAGGCAAAAAAACCCAACCCATTATGGGTTTTCTTCCTCCTGGAGGCATAGCTGGGCCTGTGATCACAGTTGTTATTTTTTTTTTTGTCTCCCCTCTACGTCAGTACCTTGGGCTGGCGCCCTGCTCACCCCCGGCTTACTTGTGCTACCACTCTCTCCTGTAGGTGTGTTCTTTTCTACTGGGGAGCTATGGAGAACAACGCGGAGGTTCACCATGTCCACCATGCGCAATCTTGGCATGGGGAAGCAACTGATGGAGGAAAGGATCTTTGAAGAGCTTCACTTCCTCACCGAGATGATCAAATCCCACCGAGGTGAGCCAGGGAGCAAGAAGGTTAGACACTGTATCATCATGTCTGGAAAGGACTGCTGCATGGGGCTGATACTGATGCTTTGGTTGTTCCCATCACAGGCGAACCTTTCAGCCTAAGATCATTTAACATTGCTCCAACCAACATCATCTTTCTTATGCTGTTTGGGGAGAGGTTTGACTACAAAGACCCAATGTTTCTCTCTCTGTTGAGACTCATAGACGAAGTTATGAACCTTCTTGGCTCTCCATACTTGCAAGTAAGTAACCCTGCCCATGTGGCCAATATTTTCGTACCCTGGTAAGTTACTGCACTCGTGGGCCATTCTGTTTCCCCGGTGTCTGGGTCCTTTCTGCATTGTACTTACACTGTAAAACAAAGTGCTAACACATTTTGTGTTTTTTCTGTGTTAGTTTTTTAATTTCTACCCACTCCTTGGGTTTTTTTTAAAAACCCACAAGATTTTGCTGAGAAGAATAGAAGATGTGCGCATCATTTTAAGGAATTACATCAAGGCAAGCAAGCAAGACATCAATGAGAACAACATAAGGAGCTACATTGATGCCATGGTGTTCAAACAGGAAGAGGTATCTGACCGACTGAATCCATTGACAATCAATGTTCTCCACAAAAGCAAGTAGCTAGATCCTGGTATTAGTCATAGCAGGATCCTTACTGAAGTTCATGCAGTTACCCAGTGTAAATGAGATGAGAAACCCCTTCCTTACATTTGCCATAACTTATGCCACATAGGCTCCTACCAGATTTAGATGAGAGAACAAACTTCACTCTGTTTTTGAAACCTCCTTTATAATCTAAAGTAAACTGTTGGTTCCTACAAGCCAATAAATGGTGTTAAATGTTGGTTAACTCTGCCCCTCTGTTTACAAGAATACAGATATCAGTAACTGATTTCATTATCCTAAAACCACTCACACCCTTATTGAAACTGAGTCATTATATCACAACTATAGGTGCTAGACATGTTTTTTTTCCCCCTCCATATATTATCAATTTAGTTAAGATGATTGGCATATGCCCAGCATGATTTTTAATACAGACTAAACAGTTGAGCTCTGAGTTTCTCATCTTTCAAGCTGGAGCTGATTCAGCTGTGCACGCTGAGTCTTTGAGTCACTCATCTGGGACGGGATTCAAGGTTCAACATGTTCTGATAATCTGGTGTGAAGCCTCTTTGAACTCCCTCCTTCATGCCAACACTTTCCTCCAGCTGGGTGGTAGAGGGATGCTCCGTGAGCGGGCAGCTGTGGAGGAGTTTTTGGGAAGCCTGATGTAGTTAAACTTGACTCTCTGACTGCACTGAGATGGGGACAGGCTAAGTCCACCCCTTGCAAACTGAAGTACACAGCTGAGTCTGTGAGTAGGATCCAAAGCTCTGCTCAGCACTGCAGTTGATTAGAGATGCACCAAGGACCCAAACCCAGCATCCAAATTCCCCACACTTTTGGGGGAGGTTTAGCTCTGCCTTCAGTTCGGAACGTCATGGTGCAGACCCAGCTCTTCATTTGATTCCCAGATGTGGGAAAGCATCTTAAAACATGATGGCCTAAATCCATGGTTGTTTTTAGGTTCAGGGCACCCCTCCACTCCTTTTTTGAATGTGGCAGCATCCCTGTTTGAGGACACTGCCGCAATGCCTCAACTTTGCTCAGTGATCCTCAGCTGGGTGTTGCTGCCACCAGTTAAATGTGCCCTGTGTGTCTGCAATACAGTCAGCCGGGGAACACACATGCGCATGCTCCTGAACACACAGACCTGTGTGGTCAGTCACCTACCATTATACTCGAAGTGCTTAGCTATTTCTAGAACAGTGGTTCTCAACCTTTTCAGACTCAAATCACTCCATAACTTTTGTGAATTGAACGTCCCCCATTTCAGGAATGAATTTACTTACTACAGTGCTTACCTCCTTGCAGAGGATCTGGACAGCAGGGTTAGGGCAGTAGCCAGGCAGAGACAGGCCTGAGCCTGCACTTATCTCCTCACACCTTGCTTAGCTCCTCACTTGTCTTCTCACACCTTGCAGCACCCTTCAAACAACCCACCATGGTTGACAATCACCTGCCTGAGTGGCATTTCCCAAGCTTGCTCAGCTCTGATGCCACCTGGTCAAAGTACTTTCAAAACCAAGTTAAACTTGTGTATTTAAAGGAGAAGAACAAGAAGGAGAGCCCCTTCCATGATGAAAACTTGGTGGCCTCCATACTCGACCTGGTGATGGCTGGCACTGAGACGACTGCCACAACATTGCAGTGGACCATCCTTCTGATGATGAAATACCCAGAGATTCAAAGTGAGCCACAGACTGGGTCCACCCTGCCTGGCTGCCTGTAGACATGCTCATTGGTGTTCTAGCTGGAATATGAATGAGCAGACACGATTACTCGACTCTGCTCTGTTTTCTAACTAGAGTATGAATGAGCAGACGCGACTAATCGACTCTGCTCTGTGTTGTAATTGGAAGGCTCCAGAGTTGCTGCAGCATCACGTGCATTAAGCTTCCCCCCTCCCCACTGCATTTTAAAATGGCTGCAGGGGCACATTAACTAAAACTCATTGAATAAGCTTTAGTTAAAGCATCCTGGAGTCATTTTTAAATGCACAGGGGCTTAATACACATCCCAGTGAGGCATTTTGGAGCAGCTCTCTGGGAACCACTCTAATTAAAATGCACCCTCCCCCAGCACATGTATAAGCAGCCCTTGTGTTTTGTTGCACTAAGAAAGGGGGAGGTTTGGCCTGGATGAGTACATGCAATGCTGCTTGCAACAGCATCCTGTCTCCTTACTACTAACTTACCATTATTTATAGTGCAGTTGTGCTACCAGACCCATCCATAAATGAGGACCCCACTGTGCTAGGGGCTGTATCAACACATAATACAAATATAGCCCCTTCACCCAAAGACTTTCTAATCTAAATGGATTAAGCCCCATCTCTGCCTTCCACTAAACTGCTCTGCCTCCTGGAGACACCTGCATCAGGAGGGGTTGTCTAAATGGAAACAAATGAGCTGAACTACAGAGAGGACTGAGCAGATTAAGGAAACCAGGGTTGGGGGATTCACAATAATTTTTTGAGGGAGAGAGAAAGGTCTGGAAACGGGGCAGATAGATCTTGGGTTTACTTCCAGAAAAGGTGCAAGAGGAGATTGGAAGAGTTGTTGAACCAGGAAGTCGGGCCACATATGAAGACCGGAGAAGGATGCCCTTCACTAATGCAGTGATACATGAGGTGCAGAGGTTTATCACCCTCCTGCCACACGTCCCACGGTGCACAGCTGTAGACACACATTTCAGAGGCTACTTGCTCCCCAAGGTATGGATAATCTTTCTAAAAAAGGATCAAACATAATTCCTGCTTGTTGCTAGCAAGTATAACCAGAAACATAGGCACTAAGAGCCACCCTTACAGTGAGTAATTCCTCACTCTGACTGTAGTGGAGCTGTTTGCCAAGCGTGCAGGATGTCAGCCTTGACTTATGGCTTCCAAAGCAGCTCAGAAGAGTTAGGTGCACACCTGTCATTGGCTATATTGCTTTGAAAATCTCAGCACATGTGTACGCTGTGCAAAATTCAGTCAAACTACTCAAACACGGCTGGCAGAAACCCAAGCCAGACCTTGAACTTGGCATATCCAGTATGACGGAGTGTCTGTTAGGTCACACTCAGGTTCTGATGAAGTCAGCAGCAAAGCTCCTGTGCACTTCAGTGGGCAATCTGAATCACATAAGGAAGCATGGCTTAAGGAGTAGGGCAAACAGTGATGAAGAGGAGCTATCTAGACTTCACTGATTCCTAACGAGCAAGCTCTGCAGCCCTTTCTTGCCTGAATTCCAGATACAATCTCACTGCTCTAATGCGTATGTGGTTGGCAGGCTTAGAGCCTGCTCTAAACATTACTGCTCTTACCTATTATTAGTGTTGTGGTAGCATCCAAGAGCTCTACCTAGGGCCCAAGACCTCATTGTGCTTGGCTCTGTAAAAAAAAAAAAAAGAAGAAAAAAAACCAGAGGTCTTGTCATACAGAGCTCTGAGCAATGTGTCCGAGGGCAGCTCTTCAGGACAGGAGGGCCAACTCACTGTCAGAGGTTTAGGAACTTATAGAGACAAAGATGCACTTTTACCCCTGCTGATGTCTTTGCCTCATCTTTGTGCCCCAGGGAACAACTGTGATCCCTTCGCTCACTTCTGTGCTGCTGGATAAAACTCAGTGGGAGACACCATATGAGTTCAATCCCAACCACTTCCTTGACGCCAATGGGAAGTTTGTAAAGAAGGACGCTTTTCTGGCTTTCTCCTCAGGTAACTGCAAGGAACAGACGGCACCCAGGATTCAGGACGCTCAGTACAATTGCTACTGATCAGTGCCCTATCCATGCAAGAGTTGGACAGGGCACTGACCAGTAGGTACTTGAATTTTACTTCAAAAAGGGCTAACCCATCAAGTGAAACCAATGAATATGCAGCAGAACAGTGGCAGTGTATAGGGGGTGCACACGCACCCCCTGAGAGTGCTGGTGCACCCCCTGACCAGCTGCATGCCCCACTTAGGTGATGGGCAGGGGGGCAGGTGGGACCACCTGTGTCCCCCCCTCTTCCCCCCGAGCACTGGCTGGGTCATGGGAGCGCTGGGTGTAGTGGGAGCATGGCCACTCACAGTAAGTTGCCGCGGGGAACCCCCCCCCCAGTCGGTGAGATTGGCTGTGGGGGGGACCCCCCTCTGGTCACTGACTGGTTGCTGGGGGGGCACATGCCCCCCCTAAGATGGCACCAGTTGCCCATATAGCAGAAGAAGGTCTAGAAGCAGGATGGGATGCAATGCACCCTGTATTTAGGGCTTTCATTGTGAAACCTTAGTTCTAGGAGCTGGATTTGCCCCTGTGGTTGTCTGACAGCCAGAACAGGGGAAGTCCTTGACCACTCCTCTCCTACACTAAGCAGCAAACTACCAACCTGTTTCTCTCAGGTCATTACACACTTGAGATAAGTCTTTTAATGGCAGTCTTGACCATCACCAGACATTTCTAGGAAGTAATTAGTTTTTTTATGGAGGGGACATACAAGCTAGGGTCTAGAAGAGGTGACTACATACCAGGGAATCTGGGTTCTTATGGCTGTCCCACCAAATCACTGCATGACCTCAGGCTAGTCACTTAAATCACTGCAGGCTTCCATTTCAGCTGCAAAAGAGAGTGAAGAAGAATACTTTGTCACAATGGTGTTGGGAGGCTTTGTTAATGATACATTTGCAGAAGTGCAAAATATACCACTAGCTTCTACCTTGCCTCTCTGCATTGATGTAGCCACACACACACA